GTGCTAACGGTGCTAACGGCCGCTCCACCCCAGTGATGAAACATTAACTGAATAATAAAGCTGCTGATTACTGATTGAAAGAAATTACGTAGATTTGACGTCTTCAGTGTCCCATAAAGATTTGTCCAGTTCCAACACCTGACGTAAACAAAGGATCAGATGAAGGTCAGTGCCGACTGGATCGGCCCTGACCTTTGAGATTGGATCAGAACATCTTCAGTGCTTTGTTTTGTGCTGAATGAGTCGTTCTGGTCTGGACCCCGTTCACATGGTGTTTATTGTTGTGGTCGTTTCTGGCATGTCTCTATTCATTTAAAATGATTAAAAATTCTAAATCTACATCTCTATGCACATTTAAAAATCAAAACTGATGAGATAAAAATCTTTATTCTTATTGTGTTTTGTATATAATAATAATTTGACATAATTCAAATAGACCTAAAAGTTATTATACTAAGAAAAGCACAATAAAACATAGAACACTGAATGTGTTTCTGTGTAAAATCTGTTTCAAATATAGACCTAAAACGGTGTAAGACTAAAATACTGCTACGAATAATCTGAATAATTAGAATAATCAACCACGTCAGAGCAAAAAAACTGTAGAAAAGTTTTTGTTTTTTAAATAAAATTGAACGAACGAGAACCAGAGCAGAATAAACGGTGTGAACACATGAGCTGTGGTGTCTGTTGGAGCTGCTGCAGGGCGTCACCTGGACTCACCTGGAGCTGCTCTGCTGTGTTACACTGACACCTGGTGGTCAGAGGCGGGAATCACAGCCAGAAGAAGCAGAGAAAGAAATAAAGACACAGACGTTCCTCAGGATGTGTCCTTTATCTTCCTTTCTATATATATTAGTCTGCCTCCATTTTTTTATGTATTATATATATATTTAATTATAATTTTACTTTGTCATTTCTGTTTCCTCGTTACAAGTTGATTAATTAATTTAGTTTTTAGTCATTAATGCATTTAGTTATATTGGTTATGCAGCTGATTTGTGCTTTCCTTTCATTCTTTGCTTTTCTTGGTTTCTTCTTGTGAACGTTTCTTCTCAGAATTTTTTTTAAAGTCCTGGTTGTTGTTTTTTCCTCACAGTTTGTTGTTTTTCATTTTCTTGGTTTGGTTCCGTTTTTCTGTTTCTGAAGTCACCTGCAGTCTGATGCTCTCATCAAATCCATCAGCCCGTGTTTAAAATAATCAATCAACATCATAAGACAATGGATCACAGAGGCCTCCTCAGCAGCGCCCCCCTGTGGTAGTGCAACGGTTAGCACTCTGGACTCTGAAACCTGGAACCTGAGCTGCTGTTTTCACCATCTGTAGAAAAACTGAAACCTGAAGACACAGAGAAAAACACAGAGCTGCTATAATACCGGCAGTCTGGAAAATGTACCTCAGATAATAAAAGTAAAAGACAGGTCGGCGTGAGCGAGCAGCACCAGAGTCACGGCAGCAAGAAACAGATCAAACGCTCACTAAACCACAACAGCTACACAACAGATCGAATGGCAGGAAAGTCATTTAAAAAGTCAAGAGTGAAATATAAAAATAAAAAGCAGACAAAAAGCAAAAGAGAAAAGCTCATTGACAGAAAGGAAAAGAGTGAACAACAGCCTGAATGAGAGAAAAGACAAAATCAATCTGGAGCAGCACAACAAACAAAATCATCCAGCAGACCAGCACCAGCAGGACCCAGTCGGGACAGAACCACCTGGAGGAGTCCATAGAACCGGTCCAGAGTGAGCGGACCTTGGTGCCTGCTGGCAGAGCGACAAGTAACAGGATTTTATTTGTTTTTATCCTGATTTTATTTTGTTTTTTTAATTGTGAGAAATCATGAAAACAATGATGAGATAAATAAATAAAATGAAAAATTAAATCAAAGCCAGATGAGAACAAAAAAACATCATAATGCAGCAGTGGTCGCCTGACCCGGGTCCAGTGTTGATCTGGAGCTTCCAGACTGGACTGTTGTAGTTCCTTGTTATCAGGATGTCCAAAAAACTCTCTCAGAACCCTCCAGCTGATCCAAAACACTGCAGCAGGGTTCTGACAGGAACCAGTACCAGATCAGATGTCTCCTGTATCAGCGGCTCCCTGTAAGCTCCAGGACAGAATCTAAATCCTGCTTCTAACATATAAAACTGTCAACAAGCAGCTCCATGTGACCTTACAGACCTGACTGGACCAACCCGACCAGTCTTATCTGCTCTCCCTGGACCTGGTTCTGCAGGAGGTGGTTCTGTTTGTCACCAAGTGAACCATCTATAGTGATAATATAATAATCAGACATCAAACTGTCCTGAGACGACTCGTGTTCTGAACACATAAGACAGAATCCAGCTGTGAGCCCGATCTCCTCAGCATGGATGGTTCTGAGCCGCGCAGCAGGAGGCCCGGTCACACTGAGCTCACACTGACCCACATTCACCCTGAGTCTGCCAGAACATGAAGGAATGGCTGTGACAGATGAACTGAGCTCATTAACCTGCCACATCTCATTAATGCTCCAATAAATCTTCATTTCCCGTCAGCGCCACACTGCTGCTTTCATAAAGACTTAGTCCATCAGAACCGAGCTGGGTTTCATCTCTGTGAACCCAAACAGGTCCAGAACAAAGCAGATCAGCACAAAGACTGGAAGCAGAGAGAAGCTGTTTAACCATAAGTACCAGCCAGCAGAAGGTCCCAGAGCTCCTGTGGTTCGGCCCATGAAGCCGTGTTCAGGACGAGCGTGGCTGTAAACACACAGAACCACCTTCTAATGACCACCACACGTCTGACCGGATGTGTACTGGGCCGTCTGTAATGGGACACAGCAGAGTGAGACAAACTGGATCCCTGTGAAGTGGACGGGGCTCCACCTCGGGTCTCTGGGGTTCTGGTTCTGTGCTCATGGAGCCGTTTCCTCCGACCGCGGCTGTAATTAAAGCTATATTTACAGCAGCTTCCTGACAAGAGATTGGAGGCGAAGCTTCCAGTGACCTCGGGATGCTCTTCACATCAGATAACATTGTGTTGGTGGGTGGTTCTGGTGGAGGTTCAGCTGAGGAGAGTTCTGTGTTCTGCTGCAGACTGAGAGCTAAACCCGTTGACTCGTATCCCACAGAGCTTTGAACAATGGCAGTTATTTCCATCAGCGGCTGGTGGGGGGTCGGGGGGTCCATGCGCTGCAATCAGCAGCAGCATTTGGACTCATCTGCACTCGGTCCTGATGGAAACGAGCTGGACTTCCTCCGCCGCCGCCGTGCCAGAGAACCGCTCTCACACAGAGCCGGGAAACACCGATGCTCCCCCGGTCCACACTGGGGCCGTGCTGGTGCCAGTAGGCTGCTGCTGCTCCATCACAGTGGAAACACGGAGCGCCGATGCCAGCAGCTCAACCCACTGACCCAACTGCTGCTGGACCCGGTCCACCCAGAACATCTGAGGACACAAACCTGCTTCCAGCAGCTCTGACTTCCTAGAAACCAGAACCTGAGTCTGCTGAAGGTCACGGTCTCTGGGTTCTGGGCCTCAAGTTCTCCGATTTTCTGATTCCTCACAGTCACAGAGCGGAAACGTGTTATTATTATTATTNTTTAGTTTAGTGTTTAGTTTGTTGTCATTTAAATTATCGCAAATACATTCATTAAAGCTGATCGAGGTCCTCTGAAGTGTGAACTGGAACGCCTCAACGATTATTATTATTATTATTATTATTATTATTATTATTATTATTATTATTATTATTATTATTGTTATTGATATCAACAACAACAACAATAATAATAATAACAACAATAATAATAATAATAATAATTATAATCATATTTTGAGAGAGAAAATCAATCGCAATTACACTGATGTATCCTATGTAACATTATTATTATTATTATTATTGTTATTGATAACAACAACAACAACAATAATAATAATAACAACAATAATAATAATAATAATAATTATAATCATATGTTGTTAGAACATAGAACGGCACAAGAATGTCGGATATCTGAATTGTTTGTGTGAAACATCTGAATTTGACAACACAGAGCAGAA